AAAAAAAAAAAAAAAAAAAAGAAAGAAAAAGAAAGAAAGAAGGTTCGTATTTGAACCTTTTAAGATTATCATCGAACAACAAAATTCGAGGGAAGATCACAATCAATGTCTTGTTTGATACACAAAGGATGGAGGATTTACTTTCACATGCTTAAAATTACAGCATTTTGTACTCAAATAATCACCATAAGGCTTACAAACACAAACACGAACACGAACACGAACACGAACACAAACTCACAAGAAACAAGTAATCCTAAGAACTCAATTCTACTTCTGTATCGTTTACCTATTTACACAACACACACTCACACGCAGACAATTTTATCAGTGTGGCACGAATAAACCAATTTGAAGACACAGACAAACAATATGAGGAGGATAAACAAAGAAAACAGCAGGCAGCAGTACAAGGCACACATCAATCAATGGAGAAGAGAAAGCGCACCATCTTAGGACGACGATGGCTTCTCATCTCTTTCCAGATAGGCTGATGGAGCTGACTTTCATGGGTGTAGCCACAACCAGTGGGGCTTCTGGAGAATCCGAGACTGCAAACTTTTCGTGCATGAATCGGCTCTCGACGATGGATTCATCTTTCAGCACAATCTTGTAGCAGTAACAGCTCTTGAGTCCTTGCTGATTCCGATAGCAGTCATGTGCACTGTTCTTTACCTGATGGAAGTCCCATATCACACTGAACTTACCTACTGTTGCGACGAGGTGATGCTCTTGCTTCCCGCTTTCGGTGACCTGAAATTCAATGTCGATAAAAGATTGTAAATTTGTGTATGAACCTTGCAGTCTAAAGTGGCAAAAGAAAGGAAGCTCAAACGAGGGAAGTTCCCTGTAACAACAACAGAAGCTATGATAGAATAACCACCATAACACGAACATAAACCAAAACATTAGTCATGGATCTCCAATGACACCGATTCTTCTACCCCATTACTTCTCTAAGTTACTAAGAAATTGATATCACATGATTGTCAAGACAAGAAAACCAACCAAGTCAGCGCAAAACAGAGCAAGATTCAAGCATTCAAAGTCAGAACAAGTTTTCTTACCCAAGAGAAGTGGCCACCATGGAATCTGTTGTCTGTTCCAGCCAAATGGGAATCCAGAGGAGTCAACTTCAGCAATCTCGGAGCGGGAATCTTGTTGCCCATACGACCACTGAACCCAGTCTTCGTGTTGCCATCTTTATCAATGAATAACACGCAGATAAGTATCAAATAAGTATCAGTCGTCCCCAGAATCCACTTTCCATCGTGAGTAACATCGACATGAGTAATAGGCGAACCGAGCCCAGGAAAGGCCGTCTTCGCCTGTCTCATCGACGTCTTCGAATACAGCCTTATCTTCCCATCAACTGACCCAACAACAATCGACCCATCCCCTGTTGTAGCGAAGCATTGGAAGTTCGTCCCTCTTGAAAACTGATGCCCCTGCGCCCAGTTCAGAACCGGTGAATTATCAGCAGCTCCACCAATGTTCTGAACCATGCCTCTACGGTCTCTCATGTCCCATTGACAAAGCCTATTGTCGTCCAACCCCAAAAAAGTGGATTCTGAAGGATCCAATTGTGACCCTTTGGTGTCGTTTGTGATGTCCCTCATCGTAATATCTGTACCATCCTTTTCAAACTTCCATTCTGTAACAACTTTCCCCGTCTCTATATCAAGCTGCTGCAGCCCTGATGCGTGGGGTTTTCCTTCCTTCAATGGACTCATGAGAAGCATGTTCGTCTCAGCCTTCATGAGAAGACCCTTCTTCGGTGTCGATCGACTAGAGTTCGGTGAGTTTCCTGCACCAAACTTCAACGAAATCCCCTTCCCATGAATTCCATGGCTTAGATTCCTATAAACCTGAACCCCAGAATCGTTCACCAAGAAGCTGTTATCCAATGCCCCTAACGTCAAGCTCTGTACGCCTCCATTAGCAGCCTCCTCGAACTCCTCTATCAAGTCCTGTTTCGTCCTCACTGAGGAGCTGGGGCTCTTCCCGAACTCAATATCCGCGTTTTCCCAAATCGAATCATCTGCCACTTCTGGCTTCAACCACCCAATAAACTCCTTCCCGTAAATCTTGACCTTGTTCTCCTCGGTCGCTTCAAGCCCATAAACATTCTCAAACAAGTAATCTTGGAATTTGGTCACGAAGTCCCGGTACTGTTCATCGCTAGGGAACTTCAAAGCCCACACACCTTTGTTAACAAAATCGACACGCCGCTGATCACCAAACATCTTCAATTGCATTTCTGTCGAAACCAGAGCTCTGACCTTCGCCCCCACTTTGAGTATCCAACGTAACTGGCCTCTACCACCCGACGAATTGGCTTTATAAGCGTCATAGTCGTCTTCTTGATCGTCGTCGCTATCTCCGTCGACATTCGCCGTCTTGAGAAAAGCGTAGAAAGTGAGTTTCTCAGAGACGATCCACTTTGCACGGGGGGTGTTTCCACCGATGTGAAGGTAAAGTTTCACAGCGTTGCTGGCATTGGGTATCTGAGAAGGGGAAGAGGAGCCATACTTGAGCTTAAGAGCTTTGAGTTTGGCGTCGACATCATCAACTGCAGATGCTGTACCGGTCGATTTGGCGCTAGAGATCGATTGCGGCTTCAATACTTCATCAGCGTCTTCGTATTCTTCTTCTTCATCATCCTCTTCCTCTTCTTCCTTGTATTCATCGGAGTCTGAAAGTTCAGCGTCCTCGCGGCTCTGCGCAGTACCCATATACGTGATCTGTTAAGGGGGAAAACGAAGCTTACAATTTCGGGAACGAATTTGGGGAATTGGGAAGAGGAAATCAGGAAGAATTTCAAGGAATTTGATCGCGAAGATGCGAAATTTTTCTCTTTAGAGATTTTGAAGCATAGGGAGCCAAATTCTAGGGCTGTTTAATTAGTCTGAAAAATTCAGGTTTGTTGGTTTGAGTAATTATCGTGTGTGATCAACCTTACACGGTCCGCGTACGTCTTACGCTTACTTGTGGACTAAGAAAACATAGATGCTTTTAGTTTTTTATTTTAATTTAAATTGGGTTCTTCATTTTGAGAATTGATTAAAGATATTGTCACAAATTTTGAAGAACAGCAAACTGAGAAACAAATTATAAAAACAATAGAATCTCAAAATATAGAAAAAATAGTCTTTAAGTAATCTACCTAAGATAGTCTTCAGTTAATCTACCTTCCAATCTAAATTTATAGAAAAAATGAAAGAACGTATAAAAAATTTATCCTAATGATGGCGTATAAGATCGAACCATAAATTTTCTTCAATTGTATTCAATAAATTTCATAAAACAAATGTATTTAGTTCACTCCCATTGAACATTAACAGCATAATTACCTGAGAATTCTATAAAATTGCTTAGACATCAACAACCTAATTACAAATTATTCAATTCCCATTAGACATCAACAGCATAATCATTTGAACATTCCATATAATTGCTTAGACATCATCAACCTAAAAGTAATTATACTGTAAAACAAAAATCAATGCATTCACCTATAGAGGAGTGACTGTGTGCCAACAGCCAAAGATGAAACTTGTTGCAGGTTTTGCAGCTACAAGGCATCCCGCGCAGCGGTTCTACGTGTGATGGCGATACCGTCAACTCGGGTCCAGTTATCTTAAAATGCTGAAAGGAGAAAAAATGACCATTTTGTTATTGGCAAGTGATAAAACCATGGTACCATAATTCGGTGTATTGTATTGTAATAGCTCAAGTCCACCATTGCTAGCAAATATTGTCCTCTTTGGGCTTTCCCTTTTGGACTTCCCTCAAGGTTTTTAAAACGTGTCTGCTAAAGAGAGGTTTCCACACTTTATAAAGAATGTTTTGTTCTCCTCCCCAACCGATGTGGGATCTCACTCGTATTGATTTAGAGCGAGTAAAGGCTCTCTAAAACTTAGTAGAGATGGATCTAGCATAAGAGTCTAATAATTGAGGCTCCATTGTATATTTGAAAATTAAGCTGGGAGATAACATTTTCAACTATTGATTTCTTTGTTTTCTTTGTTATGGTATCTACTTTTTATGAGAGTATTTAAAAATAAAGTGTCGAAACTTAAAAAGAAATAATTCTTAAAAACTTCTTTTTGTTTTTGAAATTTGTATTAGAATTTCAATGTTTACTTAATAAAAAGGAAGACTAGAGCAAAAAATGGTGAGAGGTGAAAAAAACCAAATGAAACGAAAAACCAATATTGCATATCAAGAAGAGATAGATTGCACCTTTCGTATCCAAGCTCGGTCTGCTCTCTCTCCCAATTCCTCTAGGTTGATCTCTTTTCCATGTACTAGTTTCTCGATGCCTTCATCTAGCACGGGTAAATAGATTGTACAAAAAGGTTGAGTTTATCAAGAGTTCATAAATACAATTAAAAGTTCACAACAAGTTAACAGAGACAATTTTTGCATGACATCTTGATCCAACCTCATCAGGGGAAGCATTAAAACGAGCCACAAGGACATAAGAAGAACTATCAGAAATTCCACATCTTTTTTAAAGACTCTGTAATCTGCATATGATTAAGTCCAAAGATCACTCGTCCATACCCACAAATAAATTAAAAACAGTCTGCAATATCCAAGAAGTCAGAAAGAATTACATACTTTGAACCCGAATAATTGTACAGAGAATCTCTCGACTTGGATACAAGTGTCTTATATGCGGCCGCAAGCACCGGGAAAATCTGTCTTCAATTATTTATAAAGGAAATATTAGAGAACACTTGGGCACAATTCAAATCTAAAACATACAAAAGGGTGGGTGGGGGTGGATTTCATAAGCATATAAAATAGAACCATACAAGAGAAGCAGTGAGAAATGCAACTTCCGGTTCCAGAGTTCCAGCTTCCGGTTCAAGAACAAATACAATAGTACCCATAAATCATAATTCAATTCAAACCACCATAACTTCCACAAACTTCTAAAATCAAACACAGACATCACTGTTCAACCACTAAATTCAAGCAATACCTCTGGCACTTCAAAAACTGAAGAAATCCCGTACCGTATTCATCAGAAACTAACAATTTTATCCAATTAGATCGATCACATTATGCTAAAAACACAACAGTTAAATGCATTACACCGAGATCTCCCCCATTTCTTGCCTCACTTAGTTCAAGCATTTCCTCAAACAGTTCGCGGATCACCAACAACAAACGTCCGGGGAGAAAAAAAAGATCAAAATATCGAATCCACATGATTTTCAATGTTGACCAAATTTTCACCTTAAAAAATCTAGATATAACAAGAGAGATAGATAGTACTTGGAATCGGTGACGTCTATGAAAACAGCGAGAGCTATACTGCTCCCGTCGATCTCGAACGACTTTCATGGCTACTCTGAAGACACAGAACACGCCGTAGGTTTCTTCCACACTGCGATGGAGGTACGAACCAAGATGGGAAGTCGACCATTGAGAGATTTGCTTAGGGTTCATATCTGATTGCAATTTGCGGCGGGAAGAAGGATCTGAATACGTGGATTCGAAAATACTCAAAATAATATTTTACCTTAAATAATACTTTTGGCAAAATTTATAAGAAATTTGTCCAAAATTTAGTTTTAATATAATTAATTAAAAATGTAATAACTATATTTAAACTTGTAAATCAACATGAATAAAATTGTAAAAATACCAAAATATTAAAGATTAAAATGTATATTAGAAGGTGTTAATATAACACATGCGGAAGCAATTTGAATCTTAGACACTTTTAGAACATCAATTATAGTAAATAACTAATACGTTCATAAGTATTAGCTCTGATGTTGGTCCGTAAGAAGACCAATGCTAGACAGAACTTCACCCCACTAATAGTAGTGAGCCGTGACTAGCTCCTAGCAAGTGATTCAAGATCACAGTAATGCCTACCAACTTCGTTGCCTTGGGTACGAATGTGATAGCTTTCTCTAGACTACGAATTCCTTCCAACGAGCTAAAGGCCCTACGGCTACCTTGTTACGACTTCACCCCAGTCGAAGACCCCACCTTAGGAGCAATCGCCAAGTCTATGCATAATACTATGTGTTAATCTGAGGGCTAAAAAGCGCGGTGACTTTAATGAGTTTGAATACTAACTTTTTGTAGTTCAAATTCTTTTTTCCTCACGAACTGGTTTCGAACCACCACTAGTGTCTTCTCCACTATCCTCCGGCCTTAGAACGAGATTGTGGAATCCAATGAGTGACTAAACTTGAGAGGGATTTTGTATATATGAAAAGAGTGGTTGTGAGAAGTTTTTCTCAAGGTTTTTCACCAACAAAAAGACATTTCATGTATTATGATCACTCTATTTATAGAGTCGTGTTTGCATGTTCATGCAAATTTGAGATCACCAAATTTTGACACTCAAATTTGTGGGGTTTATTTGGCAAACATGCAAGTTTGGTTGACACCTCAAAATTCCACTAACATAGATTTTTCTATTAAATGAAGTCAACATCTTGACTTTCTTCATTTTGATTCAACAATCAATTTGAATTATTTATTTCAAATTGAAGTAATTTTAAATGATTAATTAAACTATTTAATTAATATTTAATATTTCGACACATATTTGATTAAGATATTAAATTTTATTTAAATATTTCAGATTCTCTATTTTTATTTAATTCGTAAATAAAACAAAAATGCGGTTAAATATATCGTATATATGTAGCGCATTCTCCCTAATTTGAATTCAAACACTTCGAACTCACTCGTCACACTGTTCTATGGTTTAGTCCGATATGAGCTAGCAGAAGAACCTAATGGACCTATAGATCATGGGCTCCAACGATCCAAGATTAACCGGTTAAACTCATTAACCTTGTTAACCAACATTCGTTAACTACTGAGACATTCCACTATAGCCTAGTAGTTGCACTCACCTCACTATAGATATATTTCTGTCCATTTGATATAACCATGATTAGTAAGTCGATCCTTCACCGGTTGTTCGTAACTAGAGCTGGGTCAATTTATCGTTTTACCCCTGAAGTTACTCCTTGTTTCTTATGTCTCACTTATCCTCTAATGAACAATTAGTTTGTGGTCCAACCAGTAAACCGGATCCCTCTCAGGCCAATGAGAGGGTGGGACCCTTTGTTTAAGACTTGGAGTCAGTACTTAAGGGAACTACCTCTCTTCTATCCCTAAAAGTGGGTAGGAGTGAATTCCATCTTACACCCCCGTCCTCAGCCATTTACCCAGTCTTGCCCTTGAAATGGGAGGCCTATTGAGTTGGCGAACTTGAGTCACTCTTACCCATGCAAATCTAAGGATAATTCCAAATAAACAGAAGTTCATGGTTAGCTCAGGATTAAGATCGAGTTACCTAGGTCATCGAATGAAAAGAAAATCAGTCTCAACAGTAAACGACTTATAAAGTGAGAGTGATTTTCTTCATGGTCCGATCTTATGCAATACTCATTGCATATGACGCCTCCACTCACATATCTCCACATGTACAATTTAGTGATCACATTGTTTATATCATATACAAAAGTGGGGCGCATCCATAGTGTCCCTAGAATAAGGTACTCAACCTTATCCTTATACTATAGATCATTTTGACTATATACTTGAACTTGATCTACTCTTATGTCTTTACATTTAGTTCAAGTAATCATACTATAGCCAGAGTGTTCTTAGTTCATTGATCGTAAAGTTCACTTTATTCAATAACAATCTTTACTGAATAAACAACCATAATAACTTTATTGAAAATAGAATATGTTTTTGTTTACAAATTATGAGTTTTAGGACATAAAACTCAACATATTCATCTATGTAAAATAATAAGATAAGCTCATAAGGTATGCAACTATATACTATACGAAAAATTTTAATTTAATTAATTGCCTAAGTGAATATAGTTTAGCAGTAATACATAAATGAACCAAGACCACGCAGCAATGATCAGAGGATAGGACGATTAAGAATTGAACGATTTTTTGAGAATTTTCTTAAGATTCATGTGAATGAGGATAAAACATGTAAAAATCCGTGTTAGTATGTGGGGATTGGTCTTAGAAACATAAGTAAGTAACTTCATCATGTCATAGAGAAATGTCGTAGCCATTAGGTGTTTGCCGATTGCTTCCCCGTCCTAGCCTCTAATGTTAGTGATTATGAGTAGACTACTCGAACAAATGCGACGAAGAGTGGTTTTTCCCATTTTATGCCAGACAGTTTTAAGAATGAGTGATTACTCTTCTCCGACTCTTATCACCCAATTGAATAGCGGATAGCTAATGTAGCACTTTTCATCATTTCTTTGCATGTATCTGCAATGATGGGTAACGTGACATGACGATTTCGAGTAGCGTTTTGTTTCCCTCTTTGTGAACACCGGAGTGAAGTTTTCTTATTTGTTCTTTGCTACTTAAGAGTAATAGTAAAGCAATATTATGACCGAAACTCGTTTGAAGTTCATTATAATTGACTTCATGCAGCCATTACGGGTGTCAAAATACTCTAAACTCAAGATTTCTGTTATCGGTGGGCTTAAACCGTTATAGATGATATCAAAGCCAGACACCAAGCGGTGTACCAATGAGGACGCTGGGCTCCCAAGGGAGGATGAATTGTGAGTTGCTACATTGATTGCAGAGTGAAACGAAGCATTCCTTATAAGGGTGTGGAAGCCTCTCCCTAATAGACATGTTTAAAAATCGTGAGACTGATAGCAATACGTATAAAGCAAAAGTGGACAATATCAACTAGTGGTGGATTTGGGCTGTTACAAATGGCATCAGAGCCAGGCACTAGACGTTATACTAGCGAGGATGCTGAGCTTCCAAAGGGGATGGATTGTGAGTTCCTACATCGGTTGTAGAGGAAAACGAAACATTCCTTATAAAAATGTGAAAACTCTCCCTAATAAATGCATTTTAAAACCGTTAACTTCAAGTAAACACATTCGATGAAAGTTTATATACATTCTTTTAAGTATTTATTGGTTTGGCAGCACCCAAAGCATCCAAATTAAGAAATAAAGGCTTGATCTGACATAGTAAATTGAGCCTTCAGTACAGCAGTTTAATTTAGACCACAAACAGACAAGTTTTGTTCATAAAATGGGAGACCAAAAGGGAGACACTGCCAATTAGACAAAGTATTCAGCCATGAGGTTGCCACTCCTTATTTGCAATATCAAAGGCATTGGCATTTAAATTTATGTGGATAATCCATGTGAAGGTAGCCAAGGAAGAACATGTGACAGCCAAAAGTCCGCATGAAAAGGTTTGAACAACAAAAGATTCTTTGACTGTCCTTGTAGATGCCAAACTTCTTCAAGTTAGTCCAAACTTGATTGGTTAGGTGCATAGACAATTTGTGTCAGGTTTGACTGACCAAAAGGTAATGGAGGCGTGCAAAGGATTCCTTGGACTAGACCGAGATCGACTCTCGAGTGCAAATATAGAAGGGAGCTTGCCTGTAAGTGTATGACCCAAGCCCACCGTTAGCATATGTTGTCCGCTTTAACCCGTTGCGTATTACCGTCAGCCTTACGGTTTTAAAACTCGTCTACTACATAGAGATTTCCTTACCTTTATAAGAAATGTTTCGTTCTCCTCTCCAACCGATGTGGAATCTCACAATTTACCTCCTTTGGAAGCCCAACGTCCTGGTGTCTGGCTTTGATACCATTTATAAATATTCAAGCTCACCGTTAGCAAATATTGTCCGTTTTGGCTCATTAAGTATCGCCGTCAGCCTCATAGTTTTGAAGCGTGTCTACCGAGGAGAGGTTTTCACACCCTTATAAGAATGCTTTGTTCCCCTCTCCAACATATTTGAGATTTCACAATCCACCCCCCTTGAGGGCCCAACATCCTCGTGAGCACACCAACCTGTGTCTGGCTTTGATATCATTTATAACAGCTCAAGCCCACCGCTAACAAATATTGTTCGTTTTGGCCCGTTACGTATCGCCGTCAGCCTCACAGTTTTAAAACATGTCTACTAAAGAGAGGTTTTCACACCCTTATAAGGAATGCTTCATTTTCATTTCTAACAGATGTAGGATCTCACAATCCAGCTCCATTGGGAGCCTAACATCTTCGCTGACACGCTGCCTACTCTTTAGCTCTAATACCATTTGTAACAGCCCAATACCACTGTTTAGCTCTAATATTTCCAACAAACATATTGTCCACTTTGACCCGTTACATATTACCATCAGTCTCACGATTTTAAAATGCATCTACTCGAAAAAGTGTTTGATGAACAAGATTGGCCTCTACATATAAACAAACCCCTCTAAGCCAATTCTCAAGGCAAGTGAAGAACAGAGAAATCATTGAAACCAGCAACCTTTTGAGCTTTTGAGCTTGTTCCTCCATGGATCCAAGAATCTCCTTTTCAAATGATTTTTCTGACACAAAACAGCCATTTAAGCTTGAAAACATGTACAGAGAAGCACCTGTTTCTTCTGATTTTGAGTTCACCGTGAAGAACAGATGTATGATACCAGCAGATGAGATGTTCTTTCAGGGGAAGCTGCTGCCATTGAAGAACAGCTCAAGGAATCTCTTGGTTAAGACAACTTTAAGAGATGAGCTGAAAGTGAATGAAGATTGTAATGATGTTTCATTTCCAAAGCTCACAAACACTTCTGCAAGCTGCTGGAAGCAGAAATTTGGGTTCAAAAGTTCTTCAGTATAAATGCTTTAGATTTGAAGAGCCACCCACATTTTTATTCTCTTATATATATACTGTTGCTGTCTTTTGTATGCATTTCTTGCTCCAAATTTTAACCCAAAGAAGCCTTTGATTATGCTTGAAGCGAAGTAGGCGACGAGTATCGATGGTTTCAATGGGCACCGATCACTTTGATGCCTTCGTTTAAAATAGTGAGATCTCACATCGATTAGAGATAAGAACGAAACCTTCCTTATAAGGGTGTGAAAACCTCTCCTTAGTAGACACGTTTTAAGATGTGAGGTTGACGACGATACGTAATGAGCCAAAGTAGACAATATATTGTTAGCGATGGGCTTAGGGTGTTACAAATGGCATCAGAGGTAAATACTGGACGATGTGTGATCTCACATCAGATGGAGAGGAGAATGAAACATTCCTTATAAGGGTGTGGAAACCTCTCCCTAGCCGACATGTTTTAAAACTGTGAGGGTTACGACAATGCAATGGGCCAAAGCGGACAATATATTGTTAGCGATGGGCTAGGGGTGTTACAAATGGTATCAGAGGCAAATACCAGACGATGTGTCAATGAAGATGCTGCCCCCAAGGGGGTGGATTGTGAGATCCCACATCGGTTGAAGAGGGGAACGAAGCATTCCTTAGGGTGTGGAAACCTCTCCCTAGTAGACACGTTTTGAAACTGTGAAGCTAACGACGATATGTATGGGCTAAAGAAGACAATATATTGTTAGCGATGGGCTTGGGGAGTTACAAATGGTATCAGAGGCAGATACCAGGCGATGTGTCAACAAAGATGCTGGCCCCCAAGGGAGTGGATTGTGAGATCCCACGTCGGTTGGAGAGGGGAATGAAGCATTTCTTATAAGGGTGTGAAAATCTCTCCCTATTAGACACGTTTTAAAAAGTAAGGCTTATGATGATTGTAATGGGCCAAATGAGACAATATTTGTTAGCGATGGGTTTGGGCTGTTACAAATGGTATCCGAGCCAAACACCAAGTGATTAGACACGTTTTAAAACTGTGAGACTTACGATGATATGTAATGGGCCAAAGGACAATATTTGTTAGCGATGAATTTAAGCTGTTACAAATGGTATCCGAGCTAAACACCAAGTGATGTGCTCAGCGAAGATGCTGACCTCCAAAGAGATGAATTGTAAGGGTGCAAAAATTTCTCTATAGTAAATGGATTTTAAAATTCATAAGATAACCTAGCCTAAAAAAACAAACGGCTCAAATATAACAACGATCTTCGATTTTTCTGGCGGGGACACTGAAAACCCTATAAAAGGGAACGCTCATATTATTGTCGAAATCTCCGAGTTACAAATTTCTGGGAATTAGAGATCAAATTAAGAAGATTGGATTTGGAATGACGAGCAGTTTCGCGAATCAAAGAGGGTCCCGATCATGGGCCACCGATGAGGAGTTGCCAGTGTCTAGTGGGGTTCCGATTCCACCCAAGAAAAAATGGTCAAATGCGATGCCTCTGTTCATCGCTCTCGTGGTCATAGCAGAGATTATCTTTCTGGGTCGGCTTGATGTGGCGAAAAATGTAGCCATGGTCGATTCATGGACCGATTTATTCTACCACTCGTCGTCTTCCCGGGCAATGATCGGTGGAGATGATGGTTTACATTCCCGGTTACTCGATGGCGATCGGATCTCGGAATTGAGGACTTGCGAGGAGTGGTTGGAGAAAGAAGACGCTGTAACGTATTCTAGGGACTTCCAAAAGAAGCCGATATTGGTTTCTGGTTTTGATGAGGTTTCTTTTCTTTTGTTCTTTGTTTTTTTTTTTTTCGGTTTCTGCATATGCTTCACTTGTTGATTGTATAATAAGATGTCCTATTTACTCGTATATTCTTATGATGTACTGCATCAATATGTTACTAAATCTACTGTTAGGCTTTGTACTGCATCGACTTAGAACCCCATGTAATGCTAGACATCATGTATTGATATCATTTGATATGCAAATTTTCCGTTCCATGTTCAATTTTCGATTTACAGATTTATTTTTGCATGTATGGAGAGAGTTCCTATATTTCTTTTGTCAATTAGGAGCTTAGATGTTGATACCAAGATAGTTTCGTGCCATGATGCTTGGTAGGAATTGAGCTTGAATGTGCAATCCCGAAGTATGGGTCCTTAAAAGGTCAAATTCTTCTTTAGTTCATGGCTCTGAATAAAAGAAAAATAATCCAACAAGATCCTTTGATATGCTTCTTCCCTCTCATCCTTGTTAGTTACAAGAACAGGCAAACCATATCCTCATTCATTGCCATTTTGCTTATTTGGGTTTGAATGCCATTCATAAACACCCTCGGTCTCTCATGATGTTTGCCTATAGACATTGAGAATGGACCTTATTCAACTTTTTGAAGGCTCTTGCTTCTCAAGGACAACCGGTAACATTTGGCGAAGTGTCTTAAAATCCTCCTTTAGCAAATGTGATAGTCAAGAAACATTAGATTTTCAAGGAAAAATATGAGGATGCTTTGAATGATTTTCTTAGGTATTTTAAATCGCCCAAAAAGTTATGTTTGAAGGCCTCGTGAAAGATTTTCTCCATTTTCCTGCTATAAATGTACTGAAACTCGTTAATTCATGTACAGAATTCAGAGTGACTAACTAACTATTCTCATGTCGAGATTTATTTCATGTGGTATTTAAAGCTCCAAAATCCTAATTCTTATGTTTTTGCACCCAAAAAAAAAAAAAAAAATCTAAATCCTAGTTAATTGTTCTCTATAGGGGAGGAAATCTTGTGCCGTAGGATGTGAATTTGAGGTCCATCCAAGTAAAGATTGGGATGCTGCTTTTGGTTTAAATCGTCAGAGTGGAAAGCCTTCAATTATTCGATCCATGGAATCATCTCTATATTATCCAGATAACAATATTGCCCAGGCACGACGGTGGGTAAGCACAATCTCTTTTCTTACCATTAGTTGTTTGTACAAAACTTCCCCTTTCTTAGTAGCAGCAACTTTAATCTTTACTTCTAGGGTGTTTTTTTCTTTTTATTTTTCTTTTTGTTCTTTTTTTATGAATAGCTTTTCATTCAACACCCAGGCAATAAAATATTTGGGCATCCGTGTCATGCATGATAACAAAAATCATGCATGGTTTGCTTGTTTTCCATAGTCAATCTGAATGAGTGCTTGAAAATATTACCTAGTAGAGGAAGCTGCCAGTTTGATTACCCATGCAGGAAACAAAGGACTTAAAAGGAACGCTGCCAGAAGGTTGTATGTTATGGGTTAATTGGGTTATGATGCTTCATTGGAAGTTAGTTGGGAGTAGTAGTCGTCAAAGGGAGAGATGGAAAGGAGGGAGGTTAGTTAGACAGAGAAATGTGGAAATAAGAAAACCATTCTTAGTTTCAAGGAGATGTGGGTATGGTTGAAAATGGAAATGCTGGATGGAAGTAAGATTGAGTGATGTGGAAGAGAAGTTCGAGATGGATTTTGAGGGGATGCAGAGGGCATTCAGTTCCTAGAGTTTGATACAAAAGTTATCATTGATGGAGAGAAATATCAAGATCCTCATGGAAGGGATGGAGCAGTTGGTTTAAGAACACAATTTGTTAGAGAACTATAATGTAAGAAGTCTATGTGGTCCCAAATGCGAGGGTCGAACTAGTGATATGCAAGAGTTTTCCCAGGAGAAGAGTGAAAGGGAAGCAAGGGCGTTGTGGTAGGAATGCATATTTGGTAGGCTCGTGTTCTGATCTATTAAGAGCATAGCGATTTAGTTGCTTTGAGGAGGCTAGGAAGCTTTAAAAGCTCAGTCATTTTGAGTGCAAAACATTGGCATGTTTCTATGCTCAATGGACGTAGAACTATCAAAGGTTAGGCTGAATTTAAGAATTACAATACAATTTCGCAGTCATGGACCATCCCAAGAAATATGGCCATTTCATGCTTTTTTAGACATTCCTGTACAGTTCTGATTGTAACGAGGTCTGTTCAAGAGAGTTTGTGGTTTTCCTAAAACAATTGATCACTTACGACAAGGATGGGGTACTTCTTAGTTCCCTTTGGTTTTATGTATTTAAGTTGCACGGTACATAGTTGAAAAGGGTTGGAAGTATCATCCTCAAACTGATGTCAGTTAAGAGTCATTTATTGATATGTGGAGACAGACTTCAATGTTCTACTTCTACTCTGCTTGGGCTAGTTTTTGGGTCAAATGGTTACTGTACAGAGAGTCTTGGTACAATAATATGCAGCAATTTTTAATGCATGATATACATTGAGACACAAAAGGTTAATCGGACTTAAGCACATAGTTTTGAAAAAGAAAAGTGAAAGGTTTTTCTTCCCTGAGGTGTGCAAGGAAAATAAAAATGTCCTATGTAATAACATGTAGTATAAAATAATAAAATTTAAAACTTAGGGCTTTTTTTATAGATTGTTTAAACTTCAAAGATACATGATTTCAGAAAACATATTTCTTTATCTGACAAAAAAAAATGCATCTCTTATTTATTTTAAAAGATAATAAAATAAATGGAAACTGAGGCATGTCATGATGTGCACCTCTTGCATTGACGAGCACCTAATGACTAGGTTACCATTCTTCAACACAGTGGTTAGCAGTCCACTTTGTTATGAAACCAGTATCACACTAGTTTCATTTGCTGACCAAGTGTTTTTAGACCTTGATGCTGCTTTATGATGATCTGAAGTTTCATTTCATCCAAGCACCACAAAAGATGGAAATTATGTGGATAAGAAACCCAAAGAGGTGGAGCCGGTTGATGGAGATTTGGGGTCTCTTGAGCTTAGGCAGACCTATCACCAAAGATTATTTGCAGACAAATTATAAATTGGTTCCGAGGTAATTGGCTATTTTCCTGTCATTGCTAGAGTGGGTGTGGACATGGTTGCTTTTTCGTTTATGTTATTAGATGATGCTAGAATTCACATATTTTTCTTATGTCCCAACTTTAATCAATGAAAGGCAGCCGGATGATTCCTATTGCGTTGAAAGATGACTCTCAAATTTGGAAATACATTTGATTGATTTGTTAGTTTTGGGGGTTTGCAGTTTCTAACCTCGAGGCCCTAATTTAATGGCTAGGCCAAGAATTGCACAATACCTCATTGGGAGTCCTTTGATTACATATGGATTGCTACCTTTAATTTCACTTCTATGATAATGTCAGTCAAGATTGGGTGGGGTAATGGATATAGCTAAACTGCTAGTTTGTTCTGCCTAGAAGAAAAGAGCTAGAAGGGTTCAGTGTACTGTACGGTATGGGTTGAGATAATTGGAAATCTGTTATAATGGTTGGCCTGGCTGTTATAGCGTTACAGTTAGTTTGTTGTCATAGGAATGTGGTGGTTAGTTTTGAGAAGCAGTCACTGTAGGGAGGGATCAGAGCTCGGACGAAGGAGGACATGTAGTCACAACAAAAATGAGAGTTCAAGCCTCTCGTAAGCTAGGGAAATAAAAGAATCACTCTCAATTCTTATTAACCTCAGAATGCTCTAACGTAAAGCCCAGTCCATGGAGCATGGCATCCACAAAAGTGAGTGCAATTTTGATTAGTAAGTGGCACCTCATCATAAGGTGCAGAGAGTCCAAGGAGCTATATCCTTAAGCACAGTGATCTTATCCAACCGAGCACTCACAGCAAAGTGGTGATGGCAGGACAACTTCTTTTTGGAGGACTGATCATTGGATCAGAGACAAGCCCTTCAGTACAAATTTCCCCCGATTATTTGCTATTTGCTGAAACATAGAATGCTTACCTAAAGTTTGGGTCACAAAAAATAGCTCCTGCATTTTGAACTTTTGTAGAAACCTCAAAGTAAATGAAATCACATGGTGGGCCTCTCTTTCCCAGCTAATTCCTTCTGCTATCCAACCACCACCAAGAACAGTTGGTTTAGAATCTCGATTACAAGGGCTCCTTTTCTCAAAATATGTGGTTTCATGCCTTGTCTTAGGGAATTACACTCACTCCAAGGAACTTTACAAGAAGATCTGGAAAGATCTCTGCCCCAAATAGATCAAATTCCTCTGTGGCAGATCAGCCACTCATGCCTAAACACTTAATACAGGTTGCTACGAAAATGACATTGGGTTATCTTTCTCCCAACTGTTGCTGTCTTTACAAGGAATCAAGGGAGTCTCAAAGTCACATTTTTATTCATCGTTCCTTCAAGAAAAAAAGAATGTGGGCCAAAGTGTTTACAGCTCTCGGATGGAGTATTGCACCACCAGCAGAATCCCTTGATTGGCTTCATTTGTTACTGATAGATCATCCTTTCAAGTCTATAAAGAGCACCTTTGTGGTCCTTCATAGTGAGGGTAGCTTTTTGGAAGATTAGAACGAAAGAAACTTAGAGGATTTTCCAAAACAGAGAGTTCCCGCTGGAAGATTTAGAAGCTTCTCATTTTACTGCTATGTGTTGGTGTAAAAATTTGGTTTCTTTCAATAGCTACATCTTAAATTCTCTCTTAACAAATTGAAGAAATATTTTATAATCCAGTTTTAACTTTCGTACCATTTCATTTAACGAGTGAAATTGTGACCTATCCAAAAAAAAAAAAAAAAAAAAAAAAACCATCTA